GGGTATCATAAACCTTAACTAGTCCAGAGTCTTCAAAGGGCCTCTAGTAAGGCCTTGCCACTAATGGTCATGTAGTGATTAGTCGATGTGCAGTTTTCGGAATACACATCTATGAGCCTAGGGTATTTACCTATGGTGACCTATAGCTGCACTCTCCATAGTCAAACATTATTCATATAGTCAACTTGTATTTAATTCCTATGGTAATAGGATGTAGGTGAAGGTACAACACCAAACAAGACTATATTACAAGGTTCAGAAGGCTAGTAAGGCACATTAGACTTTCTAGTATAAAAGACATATTTTAGACCTGTCATTTTGGTATCCAACAAATTATAATTTAATTTTGTCAAATAGAATGCTGGTTTTCGGATTGTGAAACCTTGTCATATTGAATAGATGTACCCAGAATATTTGGCATTAAGGGTGTGGACATTATGGAACACTCCAGCACACTTACAACACACTTCTCAGACCTTTTGAACGGGTAGGGCAGCACTGTACTACCCTGTCAGGGGGACAAGAAAAGGTATCTACAATAGCAGATAGGAGCTCTCGTTTTAACATCAGGACTTGTGTATTAATATTTAAAAGGGCTAGTGACTTTTGCAACATTTTCTGTAAATATTTCTTGCACTTTTTTATCTTTTCATTAAATGATATTTAGAAATCATTAAGCTGAATCTCTGAATGGTACAACTAAAAATCAAGGAACTCTGCCTCTTAAGAAATTACCCTAGTATAATCTCTGTTACATTGCTATGTGAGTGGCACAGACTTGTTTTTTTTTTTTAAGTTTAAAATCCAACAGAGAATGCTGTGAATGATGCATGTTTCCATACAAACACATGGTGGTGGCTATCGTGTGTGTTTAACTGCTTCCTGTCCAGCCGGACAGGAACTTCTTAAATGCGGGTGGCCGTTTAAAAACGTACTTATGGAACTTCGGGTTCGGCAAAGGCGGGGCGATTTCTAAACATGTTGCGCGACAATTTCATGGACCAGATGGTGGAGACTCCTACCAGAAAAAATGCCATCTTAGATCTAATTGTCACTAATAATGCAGAGTTAATCGAGGATATTGTAATTGGGGAGTCATTGGGTAATAGTGATCACAATGTGATTACTTTTAATATTGAACACAGAAAAGGGAAGTGTACTGGAAGGACTAGAACCCTAAACTTCAGAAGGGCCAACTTTGAGAAGCTGCGCAACCTAGTGGGGGAAATAAAATGGGAAAACTTATTTCAAAACCTAAAGCGCGCACGAGTGGGAAACTGTCACTATTTGAAACAGCTGGCGATGGCTGTTTACATACAAGCGAGCCGGCAGTTGTAGAGCCACCCGATTGCTTGTATGGGGTGATGCTAGGTGCGCCCCCCCCCAATGAATACAAATATAATACATCACTTCCACATTCAGCTGTCACTATCCAGCTGCAGAAGCTAGTGAGAAGCTAGTGAAGCAGATCTCTGCTTTATCAGCTTCTTTGGGGTCCCTAGGTGACATTAGGGGTCTTGGAGACCTCTGATGTCTCCATTAAGAGGACCTGCCACTATACATTTGCTTCTTAGCCCCCTATGTGAAACAATAAAGTTAAAAGAGTACTATGGGGTAAGTGTTTTTCTCCATAGTTCTCTTTAGGGTCACAGGAGGACATAATCTCCTTCTCCCGTGACCCAAAGCTCAGTATTATATAAAAATGTCACCAGCACACCAAATCCTTTAAGGATAGCAAAATTCTTATTTATTTGCATTTCCTTGTCAGAAAAACAAGAGCTTTTTGCACCAAGCATTGACGATGCTAAGCCTGATGAAGGGACCCTGCGCGGTCCCAAAAGTGCTTGTCTTTCTGACAAAAAACTGCAAATAAATGAACATTTTGCTATCTTAAAAGGATTTGGTGAGCTGGTGACATTTTTATATATTGCTGATGTTTTCGGCAACATCCGCAGTCACTGTGAGCACCCACCCCATTAAAGTGACGTTGGGTAAGGAGTGCAACAAGTAACGGTGTTTTTCTTTTCTTTCAAAGCTCAGTATACCGCATAGCCCGCAATATACTGAGAGCCCCGCATCCGGGATGGATCCCGACAATACTGTCTGGATCCACCCAGCTGCGTGAGTGACAGCTGACTCTGCCTATTTAGAGGCAGAACCAGCTGTGCCCGCCTCCTTCCCTGTTTGTTCCTCCACTCAGTGCTGGACCTGTATTAGCCATGATGATGTCAGCAGAGCTTAGACCACTGGAGCCCATGGTAGAAGAGGCTAGGACCGGTCTAGCAGCCAGGTGGGATTGAGGATCAGGTAAGTATATCTTCTGTCATCCAGCCCCACTGCAAGGGTTAATTTGGAGGTTTTTCTCCCTGGAATTCCTCCTTAAGTCACTGGCTCAGTATGGCATGACATCAGTCACATGACCCCTAGATTATGTAGTATCTCTATAGCCACTGTCAATCGCCTCTGCTCAGCTTATATTTATATGCATGACTGACTAAAGATGGATAACAACCGCCATTAACCCAAGTAGTAAATGCAGCAGAAAGCTGATTAATGCAGTAGAATGGATGTGGCTTAACACGTTTCTTAGATCTGGTGACCCGCTTCATCAGGAGGATAGAGGTATACCTAAAATATCAAACCGGCAGAAATAAGTTCAAACATTTAAACATCATTTAATTCAAAACATATCGGCCAAAATTGTGGTGCATCTTTAGTTTCTCTCCTCCCCGCTGTGCGCTACTCTGTGTCCCCTCTGACACAGCGCAGCATCCAGCAGGGAGGAGAGAAACTGTCATAGGAGACCGAGCGGTGCGGGGAGAGGACAGTGCTGTGAGCTGCATCTCACAGGAGGCCGGGCTCTCCTTCCGCACCACACCCCACTTTGCTCTCCATCCTAATCGGTCAGAGAAGGCTGTGTGGGGGGCGGAGACAGCTGTGCGCTGTCACAGGAGCCCGAGTCAGCGGTGAGGGGGAGGAACCAGCTGGCAAAATAGGCCGAGCTCTCTTACCCGCACCGCCGGCTCAGCTTCCTGTGACAGCCGATCCAGGATGGAGAGCGGTACAAGCAGTCAGTGATTGGTGATCGCTGACTGTTTGTAAATAACTTAACATAGTATGAGATACTATGTACAAGTTATGAATGAATGGGAAGTGATCTACATAACTTCCTGTTCATTCATAGTTGTGTACATAGTAACTCATACTATTTCCAAAAGCTATGAATGAACAGGAACACTCTCCGTATAGAGGCGTCATGTTCATTCATAACAAGGGCTGCAGAAAAAGAGACTCTGTGTCTTGATATTTCCCTTTTTAAAATAGAAAGAGAGATTTAAGAGTCTGTTTAGAGCCCCAATATTTCCCCGAAGCCTCCAGCAGTAAAGTTAAGAAGTAAAAATATGTAATTAAAATAAATAAAATATTTAAAAAGGTTAGAAAATATTTTCGGTTTCCAGCCTGACTTTCTTTTTTTCCCAGTTTTAAAATGTCACCTCTGATATTGACATATATAAACATATAAGCAATACATAGTTTACGAGTATCAGAGAAACCATGTGCATAGGAGCATGCCACAAAGCAAAGGTTAAATATCTACCAAAAGAGCTGATCATGTCAGATTATATAAGGCAACAACTGCAGGAACTATACCGTATGTAATCATAAATTAGTAAATCATACTCCATAAATGTACTTCAAAATGAATGTCACTGCATCGTACCAATGCATGTAATGTGCGTGGTGGTAACATGCGTTACTGCACCACAATAGTGTGAATAGGTATTCACCAATACCATTTTTTTCCAGACCGAGTAGGAGTACCATTGTGCGGAGGGTCTCAGGAGGGGGAGATGTGGAGTTCAGCAGAAGCGCTGTAAACAGGCGCCCGAGCAAGCACAAGACGGCTGCCGCGAGGTTCCCAGCAAGCACAAGACCTAAGGCAGCCCTCTCCATTTGAATCATTAAAGCGCCGGTATCGGTTTTTGGTATCGGAGCATTCGCTTAGTAGCAGGTTCAATCCCGATACTGGTATCGGTATCAGTGCATCACTAGCCAGTATCCAAATGTAAAAAAAACTATTTGCCTTTAGCTGTACCATTTCATAACATTGCTGATCAGATTTCTGACAATGCTAGTTGCCTGGCTGTATTGGTAATATAATTATTTCAATCAGTCACTGATCTCAAACAAGCATGATAATATTCCAGGCAAGTGACTCATATATGCTTTATTTGGTATATAAAGGTGGTTCTGATGTTCTTTGGCAGAATCACTGTATTTTAATGTGATTTTAACACAACAGAATACAATCTGTTTTGATGAGATGAGCTGTCTGTTGTGCTGTTTAAAATCCCCAAGGTTCCATACTGTATTTCATATATTATAGGGGTGAGATGCAACCTTTACAGCGCCCCCTAGTTTGCCTTTTGTCACTTTCCTTCACACACATATAACTGATGCATAGTGTCCCTCTATGCACACACTTGTAACGCATTGAAAAATTGGTTTGTGTCCAGGCATTCGCACATACAAAGATCTTAGTGGCACACTTTGAAACCCATGCACCTCACTGATCCGTAGTCACAAACAAGACATTTGGCTAATGACGCTGACATACTAGTCCTACAGACACACGCAAACTCATACTGGGGTTCCTAGCACACCTAGATACTCTGTCACACTGAGCCACACACAAACACAGAGGTACTTGCTGTGTTCATCGTCAGCCATTTTTCTTCCAGCCATCACCTAGTAGTGACTGATGAAATTGCGGTCAATTAGATCAGTTGATTGCACATAGAAACTTTATAAATCGGGTCGCATTTATGTGAATACAACTGATATCATATTGCAGTGAGGCTTGAGACTACTTATGTAATTAAAAAGCTGAACTGAAAAATGTATAAAGCTGAATCTTGCCTTTAGTAATATAAATGTTGTTGTTTCAGCCATCACATTTACAGCAATTAAAACATGCTGACCAGGGAGACGGGCCAGAAATGGAAGTGATTACCTTTACAAAAGATACCGTTCTGTCTGATGTCCATGTACACAGCTCGAGTAAGAAGCATCTTATGGTCAGACTAAACAAAGTAGGACAGCCAGGTAAGTGCCTTTTATTAAACCAGGTCTTTCTTGGGTTTTATTTCAATTCCAACATTTATCCAGTATACATTTTTTTCTTATGACCTACCCATTATGTTTCCCATACATCTTATAATCTGAAGTTCATTTAACCACTTGAAGACCGGGTTGTTAAACCCACTTCCTGTCCCGGTCATTTTCCAGTATTCATCGCTGCAGTACTTTGACTGACATTTATTCCGTCATACAAATACTGAAATTAATTTTTTTTGGGGACACCTAGATCTTTATTTTGGTGGTATTTAATCACCACTGGGGTTTTTATGTTTTACTATATATCGAAAAAAAGTACCAAAAATAAAAACTGTTTTTCCTTTTATTATGTTAGGAAACATTTTATTATTATTATTATTACCCATTTTTTTGGTAAAATATAAAAGATGGGGTACTGTTGGGTAAATAGACACCAAACATGTCAAGCCTTAAAATTGCGCACTTCCGTGAAATCGCAAAAAAACTACCACAACCAAATTTGGCCATAGGCGACTCTTTAAAAGCTTTTACCGTTTATCAGTTTAGTGTTAAAAGTGATTGATGGCCCTAAAATTATTGCTCACACTCTGACATTCGCGATGATATGTAACAAGTGTGGCATAATGGGTGCAATCGTCGATTTTGCATGTAGACGCACCTGACACATTTCTGCGCATCTATGTGGGGGACTTAAAAAAAAACAATTTTTTTTTTAAATTTTCATGTGTAAATTTTATTTATTTTGTCAGCAATTGTTTTTTTTGTTTTTTTTTTACACTTAACTTTATTGTTATCATATAAGGGGCTAAGAATCTCCCTATGTGATATCAAATTACAGTGACAGGTTCTCTTTATGGAGACATCAGGGGTCTCTAAAAACCCTAATGTTACTTAGGGACCCCCAAAGAATCTGATGAAGCAGAGAACTGCTTCACCAGCTTCTCTCCGGCTTCTGTAGTCGGAGAGTGACAGATGAATGCAGAAGTGATGTAGTAAATATCACTTCCTGCATTCAGAGAACGGGGAGCATGTACGGAGCCACATGGAACCACACTGCCAGTCCCGGAAAGGACGCTCCCTGCAGGGATTCCCCCCTCCACTGTCCGATCCTTCAGCGCTGACTGGCAGAACGGACGGGGAGGGGGCGGGTACAGCTGGCTCTGCCTCTAGATAGGCAGAGCCAACTGTCACGCAGCTGGGTGGATCTCGACAGTAATGTCGAGATCCGTCCCGGCTGCGGTGTCTCAATACCGCCGCTGTAGCTGGCGCTATACTGAGCTTTGGGTGACGGGAGGACGCTAGTTTGTGTCCTCCCATTACCCTTAGGAGAACTATGGGGAAAAGCACTGACCCCATAGTTCTCCTTTCATTTTTTTTTGTCTATTTTGTGCATTTTGAAAAGATTTAACATCACTTACAAAAAATTGTTGATTTAGGCTAGGTTCCAAAAATGGTGCAGGGACTGAGGGATAATACATAGCAAGCGAGATTGCCTGCCTGCAGGAACGTAATATGTACAGTCTCCAGGATAAAAGAGAAAGTATAAAAACCTTGAAGTGCATTAAACTGTATGTATAGCCAAAACGATTTGTCAGGGTTGTGTAGAGTAGGGAAATGTTAAACATGCTTCCAGTTGTTTTTCTAATACATATATTAAAGATGGAAAACGACATTCACTTTTTTTTAAGTTCATCTTTCCACAGAAACTACCAACACTTGATAATATTCCAATAGCCAAATGATTGTAAAGCAAAATAGGGTTTACAATGTAGTACTGTGGGAAGGTACTTCATTTAAACATTATACATAAAATGTAATAATAAAATGATTTTGTTCCATCATACCAAAAGCACAATAAAACTAACCGTTATTTTGTTGGTACATGTTGATCTAGTGTCCTCAACAGAACCTCATTATTGAGGTACTTCTCAAAGTTGATGCCTGTCATAGTTTTCCGCTTCTTTGGGACAGGGCTCAGTTACGTATATTCAGTTTTAAACACGTTTATATATAAGCAATCTTTTGAGAATGTAATCACAATAAAGTTAACTCTTGTAGCCATCAAGAGTTTAGAACATATACACAAGACATGCACAGCCTCTCAGAAAATGTGCAGCCACTGGCCCAAATTACGTAACGGTAACCCAGAGTTACCATAAAAATACTTCAATATCTTATCACCTTAAAGAGGAACTCAGGAATGTAAAAAGTTAACCCTGTCAGTATTTTATTTATGAAAACAGGTAGGGATCTAAAATTAAGGAGACTCCTTACTAAATCTTCATAAATTAACTGATTGCCTGAGTAATGTATATACTCTAATTTAAAGATGAAATCATAATATTATGCAAATATATACAGTGTGGAAAATTACTATTTGGTCCCCTGCAAATTTTGTAAGTTTGCCCACTTACAAAGAAATGAAAGGTCTATAATTTTTAGCTTGGGTGTATTTTAAATAATAGAGACAGAATATCAACCAAAAATCCAGAAAAAAACACATGATACAAATGTCATAAATGGAGTTGCAGTTCAGTGAGTAAAATAAGTATTTGATCCCCAAGCAAAACATGATTTAGTACTTGGTGGAGAAACCCTTGTTGGCAAGCAAAGAGGTAAGATGTATCTTGTAGTTGGTTACCAGGTTTGCACACATCTCAGGAGTGATTTCGGTCCACTCTTCTTTACAGATCTTCTCTAAATCCTTAAAGTGATATTAAAGGCTATTTTTCCCCCCACCCAATGTTAGTGTAAGGACTTACTTTAAATCATGCCTCTTTATTCGATCATCTTCTTCCCCCCAGGAAAGTGCCGCCCTAGGCAAACGCCTAGTTTGCCTCGCGGTAAATACGCCCCTGTGGTGCGGGTCTCCGATCCAGCGCTGACATCTCTGTCCTCCTCTTCCCTGATGTCCCACAGAGTCTGTGCAGGTGCACGCTGCTCCATAGACTTACCTTGTGTCTCTCCTCGTCTCCCGGCCGAACATCTGAACTGCGCATGAGCCCGCCCCAAGATCCTTTGGGGCCGCCCGAGACTCTTCAGACGTTCGGACGGGAGAGCACAGCGAAGACACAGGAAAGTTTAAACCTGTTTTTGCATATATCTACTGCTTGCTAGCAGTAGATATATGCAACAAAATGTGGGGGTTTAATAACTCTTTACGGTTTCTTGGCTGTCGCTTGGCAACTCGAAGTTTCAGCTCCCTCCATAAACCTTCTATAGGATTAAGGTCTGGAGACTGGCTAAGGCACTCCATGACCTTAATGTGGTTCTTCTTGAGCCACTGCTTTGTTGCTTTGATGGTATGTTTTGGGTCATTGTCTTACTGAAAGACCCATCCACAACCCATCTTGAGTGTTCTGGCTGAGGGACGGAAGTTCTAATTGAAGATGTTAGAATACATGGCCCCATCCATTGGCCGCTCAAATGCGGCAACGTTGGCCTGTACCTTTAGCAGAGAAACAGCCCCAAAGCATAATGTTTCCACCTCCGTGCTTGACTGTAGGGATGCTGTTCTTAGGGTCATAGTCAGCAGTTTTCTTCCTCCAAACACGGCGAGTTAATGCCAAAGAGCTCAATTTTGGTCTCATCTGACCACGGCACTTTCTCCCCATCCTTCTCTGAATCATTTCAATGTTCATTAGCAAACTTCAGACGGGCCTGTACATGTGCCTTCTTGAGGAGGGGGACCTTGCGGGCGCTGCAGGGTCTCAATCCATGGTGGTGTATTGTGATACCAATGGTTTGTTTGCTGTCCCAACTGCCTGTTTGCTGTTTGTTTGCTGTCCCAACTGCCTTAAGATCATTCACAAGCTCCTCCTGTGTAGTTCTGGACTGATCCCTCACTTTTCTCATGATCATCCTTACCCCATGAGGCAAAATCCTGCATGGAGCTCCAGACCGAGGGCGATTGATGGTTACTTTGTATTCCTTCCATCTGCGAATAATCGCTCCAACAGTTGTTTCCGCCTTGTGCAGGTCTACAATCTTGTCCCTAACGTCCTTTGACAGCTCTTTGGTCTTACCCATAGTAGTGAGGTTGGAATGGAAGAAAGATTCCGTGGACAGGTGTCTTTTATATACATAATGAGTTGTCGTTTGGAGCACCTTCTTAAATCGACAGGACTAATCTGTTTACCACATAGCCAGTCTGTGGGAGCAAGAATTATTGTTAATTGGTAAGGGTTTGAATACTTATTTTACTCACTGAGCTGGAACTCAGATTTGTGTGTGTGTGTGTGTGTGTGTGTGTGTATTATGTGGGTTTGGATTTTGTATTCCCTTAATAATAAAAACCTTCCTTTAAAAACTGCATGTTGTGCAACGACAATAAGGTTCAAAATATGCACTGCAATTTATCAGAACACTATGAAATTAAAACCACAGAATATTCTATTCCAGATATTAGTAAAACAGGACCATATCTCTCATGAAGTGCAGCTAGTTAAACTCTTAATATGAGATGACAAAAAACATTTCAGAGCCTAAAATCCTTAATACACACTAACCATTTTTGATCGATCGATATATATATATCAGACTAAAACATTGGCTTGGAGCTCATATTAGCTTCCTTTCTCACAAAATTGAAATTAGAGATAACTGTTACTGAAGATATAATTTAATACTATAATATAAACAAAGTATTGATATTGAAATGCAGTAATCAAAAGCAAATTAAGACAAATATGCACACAATCGTTTCCAGGATAATATAGCAGAACAGTGAGTACACAGGGGATTTTTTTTTTTCTAGTTAGTTGAATACCGTATAACACAGAGTTTACTGTAAAAGGTAATTTTCAATGTGAACTCTATTCATATCTTGAAAAGAGAGGGAAAGAAAGAAAAGAAAATATGATAGTGAATAGTTCTTTGTCCTTTTTGTCCTGCCTGAGACATGGCATCTTAATTTATCTTACAGTCTGGTACCATTGTCAACCTTTTTCTTGTTATCTTTATCTTGATATTGCCTGGTCTAACTAGACCCCCAAAATGTATAACCTGGGAATCTATGATGTTAAAGACTGAGACTGGCTGATATTTAGACTTTGTCTTGAAACCATGAACTTAAGAAGAATTCAAGGGTGAGTAAAAAATGCTCATCCCCATAATTCAAGCCGACCTGTGACACTGAAGCTGTCACAGGCCGGCTCTATTGATCGGGAAGTCGGAAAACGCATACCGCTGATCGCTGACTTCCCAATCTTCTCCCTGCAGAGAGCGGTGTCAGTCTGACAGTCACCGCTCCCCACTGGAATTCCCCCCTCCTCTGTCTGTTTCTCCAGTGCTGACTCAATCAGCCAGCGGGGTGGATCTCAACAGTATTTTCGAGATCCGTCCTGGCTGTGGCACAGCTCTACTCTCTGCTATATACTGAGTTTTGGGTCACCGGAGGAGATATACTGTTACCCCGAAGAGAACTATGAGATATACTGTTACCCTGAAGAGAACTATGGCCAAAACAGTTTTATAGTTCTTTTTTAAATTCACCTTTATTCTACAGAATAAGAGTACAACATGGCTTCCAATGTGCCCGTGTTACATTATGTATAGGTGATACATCTAGGCCTCAGTTTCTTTAGATGAGTGCTTAATTGTTAACAGTGGGGATGCAAGGGTTAACTGCTTGTTTTTTTCTTTAGGGGCTCAAAAAAACATCTCTTCTAATGCAGTTAATTCAACTGCATTAGACGTGAGGACAACGAGGGACATACTGTAGCACAGCTGGAGCGGAGGGGGGAGAGGTGAGCACTCCCCAACGCAGGACCGAGGAACAGGTGAGCATATTTTCTGTATTCCAGAGAAAAACAAGGATTTAACTCATGTGGTGTGGAGGGAGCCCCAATGCAGGGTTTAACTTTTTAAATACCTGAAGTTCTTCTTTAAACTGTCCGAGATTGTACAAAATGGTGATATGGGTCCCAGCGCCAGGCAAACCCCCTCCATACACTAACCAAGGGTTAGTTTTATGGTGATGGCTTTTATCTTTGTTTAGTTGTGTGGGGTTACTGGAGAAGCAACAGGAAGTGAAAAGAAATCTATACAAAGTGAGGGAAATTCCTCTCTTTCTGTTTTACCAATAACTAAAAATGTGGATTTCCTATCACTTTCTGTCTCGGTGACTATGGCGCCAAAACAGATCAAGAGGGTAAAACTACCCGGCAGGGACACAGACCAAAAAATATTATCTTTATTGAACATTGGATGTTTGGACCAGACCACCAGCAGAGGTAGCGAGTCAGTCAACAGTAAGTGAATTTAAACATGCTTGGGATAAACAATACTATTCTCAAAATGTGGACTGTTGCCAGACTTCTGTGCCTCCTACCGAAAACAGCATTGTAGTACACTTAAAAGCAAGTCAAAATGTACATTTTAAATGCAGAAATGTGAATCTGTCTTCTTGTCACAAATCAGAAAAGATCATACCTTTTGGATTTGCTGCAACAATTTTGTAGCAGATACAGAATATCCTGTTTTTTTAGACCAATCCTGTCTGTTATTTTTATTGCTATGATTTATTTATAACTCTGCTGGAAAATCAAAGTGGTTTGGAGTGTGATAGACGGGTTTCATTTGTGCCAATACGAGTGAAATGATAAATATGTATTCAAAATAATATTAAACAATCCAAGGCAATATCTCTTATTAATGTTAATATGAATAAACCACCCCAGCAGTTAAAACAGCATACAAATGTCCTGTTTGCTTTATGAAAAGCTTTGTTTCCTACATTGATGGTTTGTTTCCAGAACAGACCCAGAGGGATGATTTGGAATGAATAATAATGAGAAGTTCTGTACTATTTCTGAATGAGGTGGTTCACCTTCTTGTTTAGTCATTTAGCTGTACTGTTCTTTATTACAGTGAAACCTCTGATGTCAATGTAATGTTAGATGTTTCAGTGGGTAGACAAGGTACTACTCACATGTGTTATTGCTATAGACGCTTATAAGCATTTTCAGCCAGAGTTTCTCTTCAACGTGGAACTCAAGGTAAACTGCTGAATTCATGCATACTGTATCTCCAAAATCTCCTTCATTTATGTAGATGATGACATCTCTTTCCTAAAAACTTTCTGGCCAGAAGGTGTCTTTTGCTACTCATGAAAGCTTTTAGCTTTGTGCATGTATGTGTGAACAGTTTTACTTGCCAAATGATTTGTGATTCTGCTGTGTCTTGTAATTCTAACACTTCTGCTACTGGCACATTACACCCGTGTCACCTGCCTTGCCCTTTGACAATAAACTGCTAGTGTGATGTTACCAGACATTTTGGTCAGGTTTTATTAAATTTTTTTTTTTTTCTCAAGTCTTTCGGACACATTTTAAGATCCTTTGGCAAAACAGTACTTTGGAATCTGCAAGTGAAGACTGTATAATTATTACTGACAATGAAGACAAAGAAAAACAAAGGAAAGATGAGGGATCACTGGTTTTTAAAGCTACAAAATTATATGACATGCAAGCAATAGAAAACCTTCTTGATGAAGATGGAGATCTTGAAGTCCAGAGAAGGCCACAATCTCCTTCTGACAGAGATGATACCAGAGAATATGCTCGAGATGTGGTGTGCCCAACTATTCTAACAATTGGTAGTGATGGTCAGATTGAGGAGGAAGAATGTGTAAATAATAAAGATGTCATTAAAATAGGTAAGTGACATGTTTAAAAATGTGAAGCCATGGATTTTTACTAGTTTTGACTAATTAAGACTTTGCATAACATTGCTTAATTTTACCTTGGGTTATGCTGTATAAAGCCTGTGACACACCGCACACGAAGCAGTGCAGATCGAAGCAAAGCTGTCAGGCACGGAGCTTCATGTGCAGTGTGTGAGCTCAGTGCAGGCAGATAAATGACAGCACTTTCAGCCAATCGGCTCACGTGTAAAAACTAGCTGGACATCACATACTGGCGCGTGGGTTTATACGTAAGAGCCGATTGGCTGCAGATGAAATTTTTCATCTCGGCATGCTCAGCTATGCGAGCTCTCGTAACCTGACGTGCCGGAGAGAAAATCGCATTACACATTGCACGTGAAGGTAGCACACCACCACTTTTCACTCACCTCATAGTTCTAGCCGACCTGTGACCATGAGACTGTCACAGGTTGGCTCAGTAGATCGAGAAGTGAGCGAACACATACCGGCGTTCGCTCACCTCCCAATCCTGTCACTGCTCTCTGCCGTGACAGGGGAGGGGCTGGATTCCCCCCTCCCCGCTCCGATCCGCCAGCACTGACTGGCGGAACGGACCGGGGGTGGGTACAGCTGGCTCTGCCTCTAGATAGGCAGAGCCAGCTGTCACTCACGCAGCTGGGCGGATCCAGACATAATTGTCGGGATCCACTTCAGCTGCAGTGTCTCAGTATATAGTGAGCAGTAGCTTGCGGTATACTGTGGCGTCTCAGTATACCGAGAGCTGTAGCTTGCGGTATACTGAGCTTAGGGTGACGGGAGGACGCTAGTTTGTGTCCTCCCGTTACTCTAAGGAGAACTATGGGGAAAAGCCTTAACCCCATAGTTCTCCTTTTAAATAAGACAGGATGAGGTATTCCAGTGTTTTTAAAAAGTGTGTATTTGGTTGTTAGAGTGAACTTGCTTGCTCATGCAGAGCAAATGTCAACAGGTTCACTTTAAAGCGTATTTCCACTACAAATGACGGGTCTTCTATAAGTAGGCATCTTGGGTCTATTAGATGACTAATGTCACCTGTGGACCTCATTGAAGTTGATCAAGCACAGCACTTTCTGGGGGTATGGAGGAAATCAAGTGGCTTTACAGCCACCCAAATCAATTCTTTCTGAAAGCCGACAGTCTGCTTGTGGAATGTCTTAAAACCATTGCTACCAGCCATTTAGAAACAACGCTTGTTGACAAGTGGCTAAACTCATGTGGATATGAAGGCTCCTGTGTGAATGGAGTATGCACACACACTCCAATGGGAATAAAGGCTCTGAATGAACTCTTGTGCGAATGAAGGCTCTGCATGAATTCCTATAGCAATAAGGGCTATGAATGAACTTCTGTGCACATGAGGGCTCTGCACACTTCTCTGCAAATAAAGGCTATGTAGGAAATATTGTGGAAATGAAGGCTCTAAATGTACTCTCCTCAATCCCCTACCCAACCCCTTCCCCTCCTCCTTCCTCTCCATTCATCCTATATCCAGCTCTTGTGCTTATAATAAACATAAAAAATAAAGTTTTTTTTTTTTAAATCTTCAATTATTTCTATTTATAAATCCTATTAAAACGCACATTAAAATGGGAATATTGGGTGCTCTCTACCTCCCATTGCAAGTTCATTTAAAAAAGAGTCTAAGGCAAATATCCTTTAGTGACATGGCCAATGTACCGCCTCAGTTCATAGTCATTGCCATACTTTTTATTACTAATAACATCCAAAGTGTACACATATATAACTTGCATGTCCATATACAGCACACTCCATTTTCCCAATTCCAATCAGTGGTGGACAATTTTTTAAAAGAACGCTTTAATCGCGGTTTAAACTTACCTGTGTCTTCCCGCACGCTATATACAAGAGGGTATAATCCCCCATCTCCCCTCTCACCTCTTAACTTCCCATCTTCTCCTCCCCTATTTCATCCCCTTACTATACTCACACCCCTCTTAGAGTAGAGAGGATCAGGGGGGAATAAGAGAGGGAAACAAAATACAATGATCACCATTCAGCAAAACATTAGTGCCTCCTTTCCGGTCCAGTGTGATCTGCAAAAATAGTGCTTGCAGCATTTTTGCAAATCGCACTGCACCGGACGCAGGCACTAATGTGCCACACGCTTGGGTGTGGGCGATCACACTGCGGGCGGGGGCAGGGCTGCGCCATTAACTTCAATGCATCTTCACGCCCCCTACTGCCCCTAAATGGGAGCCGTCCGGAGTGCGATACAGTGAGTTCCAGAGCCTGACCGCTCTGGAATGCACTGTTTGTGGCGGGAACTGGCCCTTATAGTCTATACTTCTCTTTTCTCATGCCTTAGATAGAATAGCTTCCTTCTGTCCGAAGTAATGGGCCCTGCATATCACATCTCTTGGTTGCTGAGTATTCATTCTTCTATATACTGGTACTCTATGTACTCGGTCAATTTCTATCGACTTCTGCAGGGGCCTACCCAGGAGATTATTGAAATTTCCAGTTAAAGTTGTTCCATGTCTGGAACAGATGTGCAAATGCAGTGTAGTGCATTTTTACCGCAATTTTCCCACGTTCCGGTGCTATAGATTTTTGTAGCTTAAAATGGGCTTTCAGGTGCAGTCCAGTGTGTTTTGTATGTGTTTCCATGTATTCCAGACCAGAGAAAATGAGACGAGTAGTATTTTTTTGTTGTTGTCTGGACCGGAATTGACTGCACTGGTGTTAACAGAGCCCAGAAATACCATCGGGATACATTGGGATGCTTTTTTGGTCCGGGAACAAACTGTTCATGATCCGGACATGGTGTGAACAAGCCCTTAGTCTGTGTCAGGGACCAGAGCTCCTCCAGGTGGCACTTGTGTTCCAGTCCAGCCGCCTCCTGCTTGTGTTCCAGTCCAGCCGCCTCCTGCTTGTGTTCCAGTCCAGCCGCCTCCTGCTTGTGTTCCAGTCCAGCCGCCTCCTGCTTGTGTTCCAGTCCAGCCGCCTCCTGGCCTGCACTATAGTTGTTCTGGATTATAACGCATGTCCAGAGACTCTGTTTCGACCACAGCAGTGTTTTTCTGTTATCCTTCCAGACTCTGTCGACCCTATGTGCGTTCTCCAGTTGGACCCCACTGTTCCTCACTCCACTGCTCAGTGTGAACCTACCGATCCGATGCCTGCTGCCCAGCTCCTCGCCTCTGCTGATTGATGCCTGCTGCCCAGCTCCTCGTCTCTGCTGATTGATGCCTGCTGCCCAGCTCTTCGCCTCTACTGATCCGGTGCCTGCTGCCCAGCTCCTCGCCTCTGTTGATCCGGTGCCTGCTGCCCATCTCCTCGCCTCTGTTGATACGGTGTCTGCTGCCCAGCTCTTTGCCTTTGCTGATCCGGTGCCTGCTGCCCAGTTCCTCACCTCTGTTGATCCAGTGTCTGCTGCCCAGCTCCTCGTCTCTGCTGATCCTGTGTCTGCTGCCTAGCTCTTCGCCTCTGCTGATCCAGTGCCTGCTGCCCAGCTCTTCGCCTCTGCTGATCCGGTGCCTGCTGCCCAGCTCTTCGCCTCTGCTGATCCGGTGCCTGCTGCCCAGTTCTTCGCCTCTGCAGCTCCGGTGCCTTGGCTGCTTGTCCAGCTAAACTTTGTGGGTCCTTCGCCCAATGTTTGCTCTGGTCTTGGTGAAGGTGGTGTGCCCCTTGCAACTGAAGGGCCTGGGGGTTTGGGCATCCACTTTAGGTGGGGTGTTCATGAGCGCAAGCCCAGACCTGGTAGTGGTGATGTCCCGGGAAACGGGAGAGCTCCATCTGACCCTTCCTAGGTTCCAGATGGTGTCACTGTGTTCTCAGAGGTGTGTGTGGTAACCTGGGTCGGGTGGCCATTGCTTTTGGAGGTATCCAGGAGGTTTGCTAAGCGCACTGACAGTCCTAGTGACCCCCCCCCATGCTACTCAGAGGTGGTATGCCCGCGGCCTCCTAAGCTCCTCGGTGCAGGAGGGTATATGCTGCAGAACCCTAGTGCCGATGGCCTTCATGTTGGGATGTCGGTTGGCTTGCACTGGCAGGTTACCTGACCCCGGGGGTGGGGGGGCTGGACCAGTCCCCGGTCCATAGCAGTGTGGCAATACGGCAAATTGGCAGACATACAGGCCTTCTGTGGTCGTGGACTAGTGTGGCATTTGTGGACCTTATTTTTGAACTTTCCGCTTGGGACTTTATTTATTTATCAAGGGGGGGGGGGTTGTCGTTGAGGCCTGTGCTTCAGTATTGTTGCCATAGCCTGTATCCTGTTCCTGTTGCCTCTATCCTGTTTCTGTTCCTGCCTTGTACCCTGACGCATACGCAGCAGAGATCTTCAGCCGGGAGAAGAGGAGAGACACAGTGTAAGTCAATGCACATAGCTGGGAGCATGCACTCGGACTGACATTATGGAACACAGGAGAGACAGTAGTCAGCGCTGGATCAGAGACCGGCACCAGCGCTGGAGGGACTCTCTTTAATGTCACTTTAAGATACCCCTGCCCAAAAGAAATACAAATTAGCTGACATTTGGGGGGGAAGGTGTTTTTTTAAATCATATTTTATTTTTAAAATAAAAGTACACCCTATTTGTATCTCCTTTTTATTTAACCTTTTTCAACTTTTGATAGTTAACAGATATCAAGGTTGCAAAAAAAAAAAAAGTGGATAGGTCTAAACTGGATATCTCATGTAATTATACTCCATTTTCTTTTTCAATTGTTGCCATTTAGGTTTGACAATTGTGGCACAATAAAAAATTAAATTGATCAAATTGGATTGTCCCTCCTATACATATCTAGACTATTGTCTTTAGGCGACAGGTCAGGTTAATTAAACGGATACATTGTCAGATGTAATCATGTAAAAGAATCATCTAAAGAATTTCCAGTATTGTGTGTATTTTTTTTAAATAATGAGCTGATTTCTTTTTATTATATAATGTATGTGAACAGTTGTGTAGAATGGCATTCATATATCTAGAAAGCATCAGTTGCAATATCTAGAACTACAATAGATCAGGGTGATCACATTATAATAATATGCATGTTTATTGAAAACCATGGAAGATGTTTTAGATGTGTTGCATGTCATCAGAATAGTATGTAATGCAAAAAGGAATTAATGCTGTACAAACCAAAAACATATCACAAATTATATGGTATGGATATTCATTTTATTTCAATGTAATGCAATGAAAACCTATTTAGTGAAGCTTAGTAAAAGACACAAACATTTAAGGATATGACCATTGTGTTGCTCTCATTGGAAGCAGAGAATAGCAAGTTAGCTTATTTCAGGAAACAAAGGCAATTTAGATATTACACACAGTTTTAAAAAAAAACAGACAGCGATTACAAATACATTCTGAAAATATTGAATATGTCAGTTGTAATGCTCTCTTGATCACCTGGGACATTTGAGGTCTACTAACCTAATATTAATAACTCCTACTTTTAGTATGATCTCAGATTTGTATTCTATTTTTACAGATTTACACTAGCTAACATATACTAGCAACATTTTAGAATAGTTACTTATATGATTTTATTCATGAAAATATTGCAACCCAGTATGTGACTATTATATTATAATGTTGACTTCTGGCTACATTCTGATATTTGATGATTTCATTCAACGTAGTAGCCATTTAGTAAATAAACAAGTTGGTACTTATTGTCCAATGAAAGCTAGCTTTGTGTATTGACCAGTACATATTTTAAGTACATATGGAACCAAACAATGAAAATACTTTTTGTGAGCAACTCAAACAACATGCTCAGAGGTTCTTTACTTTTATATTGTGCTTTTGTAAAAAACCCACTTTAGTGAAAGCCTACCTCTAGTGGGAACCTGGCATGTCATCTTTACAATAAAATGTCATATGGGTGACAGCAGGCTGGAAAATTCAGAGGGCAAATGTCACAGCACAGAAAATGTATCTCGCGCTATAAACATCAAAAGACATTTCCATTTCCCAGCTTATATTATCGTTCAGTGTTGGTTATGGCTGTGGGTACCATCACCAGTGCATACCTTTTTAGATATGCCAAATTATATGCTTAAACATTTTATTTCTAACAGCATTTCAAACTCTAAAATATGATTTTTTACCAAGGATATATGCTTGGAAGGGATATTTGTACTAGCAGATTAAACTTGGTAACCATTTTATTAGATACATTTGAACTACCAGATAAAACCTTTTTTAACCTTAACCACTTGCCGTCCGCCCGTTGTAAAAAAAACGGACGGACGGCACTGCAGCATTGGTGGGTTGCTGTCTCCAGACGGCATTTTTTTTCTGCTCGCGTGCGCCCCCCTTGCGGGCACGCACGGGCAGAAAAGACCCGACCAATGCAAACACCCGTTACCGGGTGTTTCGCATATAAACGATCGGCGGCTCCATAGCCCGCCGATCGTCTATATGTGCTCGTTTTTTC